TATAGGATAGGGTCATTTCAGGTTCCCTATCCTCAGCTTCCCAAGGGACTAACTGGGGACATCGCCTTGGGCTCCTGGGAGCCACTCTAGGTTCAAGTCTCTTGCCAGCACTAAGGTGGCTCCCTTAACTAAGATATGTGCTTCCCTGCTCCCCTATCCAACCTTCCTTTATCCCAATCTTCCTGTTTCCCCAAGATCCCCCAATCCTCCCCTTCTCACCATAAAGCACTCTTTAACAGAGTGCCACGTTCACAGGCCCAGGCTGTACACTTTTTCAAATAAAGAAAATGTAAAATTCATAATTAAAAAATAAAATCTTGAGCCAAGCAATGGTGGTGCACACCTTTAATCCCAGCACTTGGAAGTCAGAGGCAGGAGGATCTGTGTGAATTTGAGGCCAGCCTGATCTACAAAGGGATTTCCAGGACAAGTTCCAAAGCCACATAGAGAAACCCTATGCATAGGATATTCCCAGCTACAGAACTAGGCCTTAAGTGAAATCACAGAAACCAATGCACCTGTGAAGCAATAAATACTCTGTGTTTCACACTATTTCACTATGCAGTGCCATCTGTAAATAGAATATTACACCACAAAATGAATGTAATTGTGAAAACCTGAAAAGCAATAGCAACAGTTAGTGTAAGAACAACCTTACTTTGGAGTCATCACTGTGTGAACTGGGTTTTAAACCTCAACAGAACTGAGCTACATGGAATTCTGATTCTTGGAGTAAGCATTTGTGCCCCAGTCAGTGCTACTCTGGTCATCTTTTAGTAGTATTTTCCTCAAGATAGGTTGATGAAAAGAGGCAAAAGTCAATGAGTGCATTGACCTTTTTTTTTCTTTTTCTTTTTAATTAAAAATTTCCACCTCCTCCTATTTCCCCCTCCTGCCCCTCCCCCCCTCCAGTCCAAAGAGCAGTCGGGGTTCCTTGCCCTGTGGGAAGTCCAAGGTCCTCCCCCCTCCATCCACGTCTAGGAAGGTGAGCATCCAAACAGACTAAGTTCCCACAAAGCCAGTACATGCAGTAGGATCAAAACCCAGTGCCATTGTCCTTGGCTTCTCAGTCAACCCTCCTTGTCCGCCACGTTCAGAGAGTCTGGTTTGATCACATGCTCCATCAGTCCCAGTCCAGCATGCTTTGGTGAGCTCCCATTTAGATCAGCCCCACCGCCTCAGTGGGTGGACACACCCATCGCGGTCCTGACTTCCTTGCTCATGTTCTCCCTCCTTCTGCTCCTCATTTGGACCTTGGGAGCTCAGTCCAGTGCTCCAATGTGGGTCTCTATCTCTAGCTTCATCCATCTCCAGATGAAGGGTCTATGATGATATGCAAGATATTCATCAGTATGGCTATAGGATAGGGCCAGTTCAGGCTCCCTCTCCTCAGCAGCCCACCCACCCCCACCCCCAAGTTTCCAATTTTTGCCTGGCAATCTTGTCTCCTTCCAATTTCCAGGAGGATCTATATATGATTTTCTTTGGGTTCACCTTCTTATTTAGCTTCTCTCGGATCACGAATTATAGGCTCAATGTCCTTTATTTATGGCTAGAATCCACTTATGAGTGAGTACATACCATATTCATCTTTTTGGGTCTGGGTTACCTCACTCAGGATAGTGTTTTCTATTTCCACCCATTTGCAGTGCATTGACATTTTTATCTTCTAAGTTTTTCTGATCACCAAGAGATTACTGTTTATAGATCCATTCTAGGAACTCTCACCCAGCCCTGTTGAACAAATGCTCAGGTCTTTGATGGTGGCAACTGGAGATATGGGAATCAGCTGCCAGCTGCATGCCACAGGTAAGTGGAAAAGGATTCTCTCCTCTCCTGGTGGTTTTGCTTACTTGTATCATTTCTAACTTACCCATAATTGTCAATTTCTCCCTCAACAGTGTTATGTGTGTGTGCTATTTAATCTCTGTTCTGCAGTGTTTGGTTTGAGATTCCTCATGCATTGCCTGTAAGTACCAGAGAAAATGAAACCACAGTGAACACACTTAAACTTTCAGCAAAAGCTGACATTTTAAATAGAAAAGTAAACTGTCAGATAAGTTCACAGATTTAAATGAAAATATAAATCCATAAAACTTTCATCATCATCATAAACATTCAGTGTCCAAAACTGTGTACAATGTTTTTGGACCTGACATAAAAATGAGATAAAATGATTAATTGTACATCACAATATAACAAATAGTTTTGTACTTTGTATCTCCCTTGTCTACTCAGTTTGGCCCTCTTCCTTCTCTGTAATTGCCCCACTTTTGATTTTTCTGTCTTATAGGAAGGGTCATAACAGACAGGAAGGTGAGTATGAATATTAAAATCATTAAACGCCTTATGATGATGGAGGCACGCTTCACCTGAAGATGAATATGTATATCCTATTTGCCATGCAGTACAAATTACCAATCAAAAATGCCTTACATTCATGTCCTCAGGTCAATGTAATATAGAAAATTCTTCAATTCAGCTTCTCTTTCTCTATTTGATAACTATGATCATCCATCATATCATTCACTGGGTTTTGCTCAATCAGCTAACTCTCAATCTTGGCATGGCTCTTTGTCAATTAAACTACCCATCAATTAATCTGCCCTCTATTTATTTTCATACTTAGGTGATTGGCTTGTAGTTTCAATGGACTGTTGTCTTGACTGAACATGGGTGGCTACCTCTCATCAGAGGCGCCAAGAGTAGTTGTGGGTTCTCTTGTTTACCCAAGGCTTAGCTCCTTCTCTGTGAGGTTGGCTGCAATGGTATTCTTCTTAGAATAGCTGGAGACATTTTAGAAGCTGTCCTCATCCAGAATTTAGTCTGCTGCAATTAGATGCAAGTATAGATTAGATGGCCACAGAGCCTTGCTTATGTTCCTCAGAAAGGGAAGTGAATCAGGGGGATTCCACCAGAGTCATTTGGGTCCTGCAGGGCTGGTTTTTTGTTTCCCAGAGCACTCTACTTCCTCTTATCTGGCCAGCTTGCTTATCTCATACTTAGCTGCAATACCTCTTATTTATCTTCTTCAAAGTTTACAACATCACATTCTTAACCATAACTTTCCTTTTAACTCTAACATTTGCTTTCATGAACAGTACAAATGTCTGTTCAAAAACATTTCAGTAAAATCAGATATCTACAAAATATGGCTATTCAGTCCCAATATGCTACTGTCCTTTGATTTTCAGGATCCAACATGATAGGATTTTGGGAGGGAGGAGAAATGGGGTTTGAGAGAGACAGAGAAAGAGCAGCCTTTAGGCAAAGGGTTTGTTAGGGATCCAGATGAGTGGAAATGTGAAATAGGGGTTTCACCTACTTCACAGCAAACAGGATATTAATGAATGTAAGGTATCCAAGGTGAAAGTGGGGGAAGAAAATGTTGTGCCCAGGGGAATAGATCCAGGAGCAGGACACTTCAGTTAGACTTAGAGGCTTAGTTTTTGCTTGTGTGGGTGAAGGAAAGGTCCTGAGTACACTCCTGTATAAGGGGCATATGGAATAGCTTGGGCTTATTTAGTGCACAATGGAATGTTTCTGGCTTTAGTCATTCTCTACTTGGGGGTCTGTTACCTGGAAATATCTGGTCCCGGGAAGGAGGAGACTTAGCTCTTATGACATCTGTGAAATGGTGTGTGAGGCTTTTTGTATCAGTTAGAAGGTATGAGGTCCAACACACGTAGTCTATGCTTTTCTATTTTTCATTCATCTTCCTGAGAACAGCAACATCACTGCAAGTTACATGTCTCCTGTGTACACTATCCCCATCCACCATATGCATCACATGAGCACAAAGAACATGTTCAATGTGAGTGAAGATGTACCACATTTCTGAAACAAACTAGAATAGAGACTCAATACATACAAAATGTAGAGCATTTTAAATTATCCATATACCACTCTGTTTTTCTAATCACACATGGTAGAATGCTAACATCTCAATGCTCTTGGATGATGTAAAATATAGCATTAAAATCAACTTCACCTTCTTGTGTAACTCTGTCCTCTTTTCATGACACACATCTGGAACATTTGAATCAGAGCCCATGTGGATGTTCATAGAATACTTCCACAACATTAGATCACTAATTTCCTTATAGAGATAGGTTTGATGGGCTTATTTGTTACCTGTTTTCCAAGATGCAAATGAACAGTAGTGGATGCTGCACTGGGAAAGAAACTCTTTGGCAGCACACCTGTCCCTCAGTTGGCTATGTGCCTGTAAGTAAGGCCTCACACATGCTCCTGGAAGGAGTTTCAGTTAAACTAACTGGATCACCAGGGTAGACTTAGGTAGTCATTTCTTTGGATTTTTTATTAGATTCTGGTCCTAGTTTGCTTTCTGATTCTGTCATAAAAATAAACAACCTGGGGAGGAGAGGATTTATGTTAGGTTACAATTGTAAGTCTTATAAAGAAGGCAAGAACACAAATAATGAAGTGATGAAGAGATCAAAAAGTCATGTTGCTTATTGCCTTGTTCCCATGGCTTGGTCAGCTGGCTTCCTTATACAACCCTGGACCACCCTCCCAGGGGTGACACTGCCCACAGTGTCCTGGACCCTTCCACATCAATTACTAATCAAGAAAATACCCAGGTTTTTGTCTACAGATGGAACAGTACTTCAATAAAGATTCCCTCTTCCAAGCTATGTCAGGTTTGCGTTGAGGCTACAAAAATCAGATGGTATACTTCTCTTTCTGAGAATAATAAAAACAGACTCAAACAGAAAAGTCACCAAATATATGAATTTTTTTTGCATTGTGCTTTTCTTCATATGGTGATTAAATTTAGATTCATACAAAATGTGGGTGTAGAGGCTTATACTGGAAAGAGAGACCCCATAATCAATAGAACAAAGATTGTGAGTATGATATCTGTGTGCAAGTCTTGAAGAAACATCTGAGTCACAGCTGCAACAGGATGTACTTTTCTCCTTCAGTATTTTCAACAATTCATTATGAGTGCTCTAGTGAGCTGGTGTACCTAAGTATAAGAGTCTTCTCTATAGGACTAGTAAAGCCCATTACACTCCCAAGCAGAGCCAGAGCCCCAAAGGAACCCAATCAGATTATTTCCTCTTCTTTCTTATCCAGCTCTTGGTATCCTGCTGGTCTGGTCAGTCTTACAACTGCAGAATATTTCAGGTGAGTCTATTCATGGATAAAGCCTGGGGAAAAGATAAGAGGGTATGGAATCTTATTTCCTGGAAGTGAATGGGTCACTATTAAGTGTGAAGCATTTTATGATTTTGTTTTAAGCACCATTGCCATATTTCTAATATCTCCATCTTCACCATTTTGTTTCCATCACTTAGTTGAGCAATTACACATGTAATTGCATTTGATGTTCATGACATCACTATGATAAGATGCCATGATTATGAAGAAGATGAAATTCACACTTGATAATTAGTTCTCTAGAGGAGGACCTGACTCAAAGTTACAGAACTGAAAGATGCTAGCCTACATTATTTACCTAAACTTTTTCATTGCTGGCATTGTGAAACTTGTTTTGAACTCAAGTCATCATACTTACCTCATAAATATTACTTGAAATCTGATTTAAATTAGCAACTGAGGCACCTCTACACCTCTTGAAGACAAGTATTTTGTAGACTCATTCCTGTCAGTCATCGATGTAAGGAGCTAATTTTAATGGGAAGGCATTTTCAGCTTGTCCTCCGCTGGTCAATGAAGACATGGTGACTAAAGAAAGTTCTCCTTATTGAAATATGACAGTCTGGAAAATAGAAATTTATGTAAGAATATAGATATGGGAAGGCATTGTGAACATTTATAAGTGGAACGGATACAAAAGAGATCTTCCTAAGGGCATGAGGCAATTCATAAATGTACTCTGTGATCCCTGCAGCATCCTGCCCTCAATGCAATGAAAATGCCTTCTGCTACAACAGCTCCCACTGTATTTGTAAAGATGGATTCTGGTCAGAACCTGATAACAGAAAAATCATTGAGCCCCATGTGAGATGTGAAGGTAAAGAAGCCTGTCTTCATTTGCTTTTTGTTGTTGTGATGAACACTCTAGGTTACCTGGGGAAGAAAGGGTTTCTTTCAGCCTACACTTTTAGGTAACATTCAGAGGCTAGTCAGGACAGCAGTTCAAGGCAAGAAACTGGACATAGATATTAAAGCAGAAACCATGGAGGAGTGCTGCTTACTGCATTGTTCTTCATGGTTTACTCAATATGGTGATTTGAATGAGTACCGTCTCCATAGGCTCATATATCTACCTGCTTGGTTTTCCGTTGGTGGAACAGTTTGAGAAGGATTAGGAGGTGTGGCTTGTTGAAGGAGGTGTGACACTAGGGGTGGGCTTTGGGGTTTTAAAGCTCATGATATTCCCAGTTAGTCCTCTCTGTGCCTCCTGCCTGTAGATAAATGAGCTGTAATCTCCTCGCTCCTATTCTGGCACCATGTATGCTGATCTGCTGCCACGCTTCATGCCATGATAAGTCCCCGGTCAACTGCTTTCTTTTTTAAGTTGCCTTTGTCATAATTTCTCTTCACAGCAATAGAAAAATCTAAGAAAACATTTTTTTCAATTGAGGTACCTCTTTCAAAAAAAACCCTTTGTTGTTCCATATTGATAAAAACCTAAAGAACATAAAGTTTTAGTTAATAGTTATTGAAAATTCTTATGCTCCTTGATCTAACATTGATATGCTATGTAGATTTCAGAGACATTTGGAAGAGTCATTGACAAAAGAAAGTTATTAAAAAAGTATACTCACATTATAGTCTTTGGACACACAGGCCTCATGTGGCTCTTTGGATCAAGGAATCTTTGGTCTGTAGTCGTCTTTATTAGTTTCATTTTTCTTACCTTAGCTCTATATACCAGATTATAGTCCATAACTGTAGAAAATAAAGGGGGAGAAATGTTAAACAGCTGTTCACAATCACAGTTATGAACAGAGGCAGAATGAATGGTACATGCCAGATATAAAGAAATGTTTAAACAGCTGTTCACAATCACAGTTATGAACAGAGGCAGAATGAATGGGGACATACCAGATATGAAGCAGCTGTCTCCTTTTTTTCTCAGTCTTGTGCCCAGATCAAGAGAGAGTTCTGTTCACATACAGGGTGGGAAGTCTTACCACCTCAATTAACTCAATATAAGGCATCCCTTGCAAGCATGCCCACAGGCCAACAGAATCCACAATATTTCTCTCATTAAGACGCCCTTCCCAGGCCGTTCTACTACCTTCTGCCATGTCGACAAAACTCATAGTCACAACTCTAGTTCTAAATGCATCAGTTTGACAGTTAAAACTGATCATTATACAGTCCCTCTCTTAAAGATAACTCTGATCTGTCAGCAATGAAAAAGAGCAAATGAACAAGAAGTAGGGCAAGGCTATAAACCTTCAGAGACCTTTCTCAGTGGTGTACTTCTTCCAGCAAAGCTCTACATTATACATTTAATATAACTTATAGGATCAGTATTCACAATAGGGGATAAATCGCTCAAAATCCTTAGCCTATGGGGAACAGTATTTTACTTAAACTGTTATATTTGTTACCTTGGCTACCATAGGTTCATAGCTATTTCATGTGAAAAAATGCATTTAGACCAACTTTAAATATCTCCCTAGTCTCTCACAGTCTTGACAGTATTCAAAACCAAAGTTAAAATTCTACTCTGAGACTCAAGTGTCTCTTGGCTGTGAGTTTTGTAAAAGGAAAACACAAATTATTTGCTTCATGCATATGATGGCACAGAGCATAAATTACCTTCCCAAAGGGGAGTAATGGGGCTTAATGAGGAAAGAGCACACCAAAGCAAATGAAACACAACAGGGTAAGCCTCAAATGCTGCAGCTCCATGTCTGGTATCTGAGTCATTAGTTACTAAGGACTTAGATGACTCTGCTCCTCCGGGTTTGTTGTCTGAACCTAAATCTCTCTCCTTCTTGAGCTGTTTTCACTCCTTGTGCGAAGCCCTTCTTGGTAGGTATCTCATAGCTCTGCTAACTCCAGCACCTTGAGACCTCCACCACAATACAGGTTTCACCTTTACAAATGCACACAGTAGACTTCCAAAGCCTTCTCTCATAAATGCAAGAGATCCCTGAAACCATAGAAAAAGAGTGCAAAACACCCGCATTCTTGCGCTCTTCTTGACTTCAAAGTTGCTACCTTTATGGCAACAATGCCAAGTTTGGCTGCCAGCTTAGGATAGACCCCTTCCTCCATGGATCACAGTTGCAACTTAGTTGGTATGCTTTGTAGGAGCAGAAGTTCCTTGGGACTTCTTTTGTTCCCCCTCATTTCGGTAGCTGGTTGTAGTCTTGTCCTCAGGGCTCCTTTTCATTGTTCCAGTGCAGAGCAAGAGCTCTAACCTTGATGCTTCTAAGCTTCAATATTCACAGTCTTTTTTCTGATGTACATTGGACATGCAGGAAGTGATGAGGACATTAGAGGCTTGAGGCACAGAAGACCTCAGCAGGAAATAAGTTGTCTATTAGTCTCTGGGTTAAAGGGGTTTTATTTTATTTTCTAGGGTTCTTATCTCTCTATAATACACACTTTAGGTTTTTTTCTGCCCCGCTTTCTGGTTCTCCTTACAGAAGTGAGTGAGATAATAAGTAATAACCAGGTATGGATTCAGCATTGTGCTGCCTTGCAATGTCCTCTCATAAGTAAATTAGTAAATTGTTTTTAAGTTCAACTCTGTGCCAGTTATGAGAACAAGGGCAGAAAACTAGAGTAGGAGCTGTGGGCTGCGTTCCTGCCGCCCCAGCTCCTGGTCGCCTGGCTAGCTTATGCCCTGAAATAATTACACGGACACTGTATTCTTTTAAACACTGCTTGGCCCATTATATCTAGCCTCTTCTCGGCTAACTCTCGCACCTGGACTAGCCCATTTCTAATAATGTGTGTAGCACCCCAAGGTGTGATTACCGGGAAAGATTCTAGCCTACATCCATCCTGGGTCGGAGGTTCATCACGTCTGCTCGGGAGAGGGGAACATGACCTCTGAGCTCACTTCCTCTTCCTCCCAGCATTCTGTTCCGTTTACTCCTCCCACCTATGTTTTAACCTATGAGGGCCAAGCAGTTTCTTTATTTTTTAACCAATGACCTTCCTCCATCAGAAAACATCCAGATTCTTCACTGAAGCATAACACAAATGGCCTTTAACCCAGGTACTAATAGACAACTTATTTCTTCCTGAGGTCTCCTGTGCCTCAGGCCTCTAATGTCCTCATCACTCTCTGAATCATTGCATTTTGAGATCCTTCAATAATAGCTAATAAAGCTCCATGTACAGAGTCAACCAGGTTTTCCTTCTTCCTCAAAAGGAAAGAATGGTCAGGTCAACCACAACGATATCTCCACTTCCTAGTTTCAGCTTCATTTACTGTTTATATTATGTATGGGGTGTTTTTCAGCGTGTATTTCTTTGTACCACATTCATGTAGTACCCATGGAAGTTGGAAGAGGGCAATAGATTCACTCCATTGGGACTATAGTTACAGATGTTTCTAAGATGCAATTTGGAGTCTGGGAATTGTACTTGAGTCTTCTGCAAGAGTCTCCAGTGCTATTAAACACTAATCCATGTCTTTAGCCCCACAACTTTTGTCATAGTTTTGTTGCTGTTATAAATGACACAACCAAAAGTAACACATGGAATAAAGTGTTTGTTATGGCTTATGGTTTCAGGGACAAAGTACATAATGGTGGAAAGCAATATTATGAGGCAGTCAGAGATCCTATATCACATCTCAAGTACACACAAGAATCACAAGCATCTAGGAGGAAGTGTGACAAGGCTACAAACACCCAAAGGCAGACCACACTGATATTCTTCACCCAACAGTCTTCTTAAAGAATGATACCAACAAACATGATTATTCAAATATTTGAACCTGTAGGGATCGTTTATTATTTAAAGCACTACCATTACCTTGTTGCTGAGTTGTATGTTTTAAGTCACTTTAACAAACTACTTGAATCAGGATTAAAGAAGCTACTGAATTCTCCCTTTGGAGTTGTGATATTATATTAGAGAAATTGCTGTCACCATTACCTTGCCTTAGAATGTATTTCTCATATTATAATCTATTCCATTATTCATTGTTTATTCTTTCAGTAGTACCTCAACATCATTCTAAGCATTATATAGGATACTTCGATGTCTAGAAGGTTGACATCCTACCTCATAGTCCTTCTGGATATTATTATTTGGGGGTGTTACTCTGCAAAACACATGCATGTTTTTTTTGATATTTGTGATAATTATTCCTCACTGTCAACTTGACTGGATTTGGAATAACGCCTGTAGGCATGCCTGTGAAGATCCTTAGAGTGAGTCTTAAATGAGGAAGGACAATGTGACATGAATGTGAATGATGGAATGCCATAGACTTAAATTACAGACTAAGTAGAAAAGCAACCAAGGGAAAAACATCTTATTCGTTTCTCTCTGCAGCCTGGTTACTTCTGCAATGTACATAATTGTGGCTGTGCCTTCTTGTGGTCAAGGACTGTTTCCCACACTTACTCACAAGTCAAAATAAGACATTCCTTCCTTAAATTGCTATTGTTATATGTTTGGAGACATAATAAAAACAGTTTCTGAAGGAGAATTGTGTTGTTCATAAATTAATTCAAGGAGAACTGACACGTTTATTGTATTGATTTATTGTAGCAAAGAACAAAGGGTATTATTTGGTAAATTTACAAATGAAATCTAGCTGTAGATACTTTACAGGCAAAAGAAACTGGTACATCCTATAAAAATAAAAGCAAATAACTTTCCTTCATTTACAGATATTGATGAGTGTCAGTTGGAGCCACTGGTGTGCACAGATGTGTCATACTGTAAAAATAAAATTGGTACTTACATATGCAGCTGTATAGTAAAATATCCTATCTTCAACTGGGTAGCTGGCATTATTGATAATGATAGTCCTGAGTGTTATGGTAAGTCTATACATATATCTTTTTCCATTATGCTAAGGAAGGTGGGTGGGTAGAGCTTGTGACAGCTATGCCTCCATTGGCTGGAATACTAGAGTTATTTTTGTACCTTCATCCATCATTCCATTGCTTTATATGATCTTTTGCAATGCAATGCCAACTAATCCATGTGATTGAATAACCATTTCCAAATTGAAACATTCCAAATTCTTCTCCAGTACAGGTCTCTTTCCTAGTTCTAAAACCAGACATCTCTGATTTTCTTCAGAACTCCACTGCTTCTTTATCTTGCAATAATACCAACTGCACTTCACATGTCACTCTGTATGCATAATAAACCCCTTGAGTTCACACTCATGCTCCCAAACCTTCCTTCATGTGCAATGCCTTAACGGCCAATCAGCTTCTGAATTCACAATGTATTTTACTGCTCAGCTTACATGGAATATCATGCTCTAAATGATGCTATGTGAAGAGGTAATGCTTCCACTTACAAATTAGTTTTAGTGGACAATTTAAAAAGTTTTTTATTAATTTTTTTTTCATACAATAAATTTTTATGTTTGCCCTCTCCCAACTTCTCACAGGTCCTCCTCTCTTTCCTACTTTCCTAACTGCAGGTCCCCCTCCCCCATTTGTCTTTCCAAAAACAGTAATAAAGCAGAACAAAAAACAAGACTAAAACTTCTGTCATGCCAGGCAGTGGTGGCACACACCTTTAATCCCATCACAGGGAGGCAGAGGCAGGCGTATCTCTGTGAGTTCGAGGCCAGCCTGGGCTACAAGAGCTAGTTCCAGGACAGACTCTAAAGCTACAGAGAAACCCTGCCTTAAAGAGAGAGGGAGAGAGAGAGAGAGAGAGAGAGAGAGAGAGAGAGAGAGAGAGAGAGAGAGAGAGAAATATATCATGACATAAGCAACATGAAATGAAACAAATCTCTTTCTGTCTCTCTGTCTCTCTCACACACACACGCAAATTATGTAGTCTGTTTTCTGTTGACCAACTATATCTACATATGGGTCTTACACCACTGGAGAAAACAGAAAACTGATTTTCCCTTCCCTGGCAAGTTTCAGTTGCAGGCAACTTCTTGGTTAGGATTGCGACATTATGTGTTTCCCCTTCTTAGTGCTGGTATATTTTCTTTAGCAATTGAATTTTGACCACAGTATGAACTAAAATGCCTCGTCTATAAATAGGAATAGCAACAAAGTTTACTATGCTACCTATACATTGCTAAATAGCAATTTATTCCAGAATTTAGTAGAATAAAATAGTAAATATACCTACTTTTGCACATTTTCTATTATTACAGTCTAGACGTGGGCTAACTGAGCTGTCTGCATCTGTCTCTAGTGCTCAGTCAAGATGATTCTCAAAGGCACAGTTTCGTCTGGACCCTGAATTGAAGCAGGACCTACTACTATACTTACTCACGTGGTTACTGACAAGAGAGTTTCATGTTTGATTTGTGTTTAATGTTTTTGTGGCTAGGAATGATATTGATAGATAACCCAGTATTCCGGAAAACTTGACTCTCCTCTGCCACCACCCCAGCTGAGATTCAAGCATGCTTCAACATGCCTAGACTTGTAAATTATTTTCTCAAGGCTTTCCTTCCAGGCTGGAAATATAGTAAATTAGCAAGCTTGGCTTTTCACTAGCATATATCCAGGGGTCTTTATACTCTGCTTAGTTTTGAGCAGTTACTCAAAGGCTCCTTCTGATTGAATTGCCGAGCTGACAAATTCTTTATAGTGTGACTTTCACTGTGGAAACGAGCAAACGTCTGTTTGCCCAGGATAGGGTACCAAGGGCAGGTGAGAGAAATGACATCACCCACGTAGCTTGGAGAATGGACAAGTTTACTGAAGTTATCTTTTGGGTCAGGGAATCACAAAAGGCCAGTTATGACACTAAAAGCCCCAATCCAGAAAGCTCCGTTCCTCGGGAGATCCTTCAGGAGGCTTGAGCATTAGGGTGGCTGGAGAGTTTCCTCTCCCTGGAAGTGACTACTGCCTATGTGGCCCATGCGAGGGGCCCTGTAGGTTTTCTAAGTTCCATTGCTTCCTGAGACTGGAGTTGTTTACCTCCCCTAAAATGTAACATTTCATTTCTGAGGAGTAGTCGCAAACGCTTCACTCCTTCCTCCAGCTCTCATACTATTTCTGCCAGCGCTTCCACGATGTTCTATAGGCACAGAGTGTAGCAACATTGATATTGGTTATCTTCCTTCCTCCATGGCTGAGAATTAAATGACTGTGCCACAGCAAGAAGATTTACTCTGTGGATATTTCTGTTACGGCTCTCTGTACTGTTTTTCTACCTACAATAAAGACGTTTCCCTCAATGACTAGCATTTTAGAGACAATTTGCTAATGTTATACATTCATTAAACAGAACAAACACAGTGGTCTCCTTGGGGCCTTTGACTCTTGTCACTGGCTGACAGTACCACCTGTGAGTTCTAGCTTGTGTAGGAGACCTTAATTGCAACTGACAAGCAATCAGTTATACTCATAACAGCCATGCCATGATTGGACCAGTGAGCTTATCTTGCCTAGTTTGTAGTAGCATAGCATGCAGGATTCATAGTCAACTAAAATTGTTGGTGATATTTTCACTGCCACAGTCCCCATTGTACTTTTCCCCCACTTTGAAAGTTAGTCTATGGGGCTGGAGAGATGGCTCAGCGGTTAAGAGCATTGCCTGCTCTTCCAAAGGTCCTGAGTTCAATTCCTAGCAACCACATGGTGGCTCACAACCATCTGAAATGAGATCTGATGCCCTCTTCTGGCCTGCAGGCAGACACGCAAACAGAATATTGTATACATAATAAATAAATATTCTTTAAAAAAGAAAGTCTACAAGGGAGGGACATCAAATATGGTACAAAGTTATTTTTCTATGTTCTTCAGCCAAAGATTTTGGTGTATTATCAATAGGGCTTTGCCATCAAGTCCTGCCATGCAGCCCACAAGTACTGGTAATAGCCTTTATGGTTTGTAGGGCTTTGTGTACCTTTACAGCTAATAATTCATAGGGAGTCAGCCCATCTCAGCCACAAGGATTTTCACTCAGCATTATGTCCTCTGGGGTAACATTTCCTAGTCACAATAGCTCTGTTCTTCCAGATTCTTTACAAACTTGTAAGATACTCAAGGGTTAGTGCCACATTATAAAACTTATTTTAATTTTAATGACGGTGTACAGGACCTCAGATGTCCACCACCATTAACTCCTAGTATGTATCAATTGGTCACTAAAATGAACCATTAGCAAGAACCAGCACAGTATGAAGTGATCTCATCACTTCTGTAAGTTATTTTATCAAAAAGACAATGCCAGTACCGTGGCATGGAAGGAGACATATTCCCTATTGTCCTCTTACACACAGAAACCTCTGAGTCACTGGTCATCAGTCAGCTGCTGAACTGGTGTGTCTTGACTCAGCTGCCTTGGGATGCTCAGCTCTCTTCAGTCAGCCATGTCTGGTGCTGGCGATGGCAATGTCTTCTCAATTCAACGTGCTCTGAACCACAACTTTGGTTCTTATCTGTTCGCTGGCTACACCTGACCTGTCAAACAGCCCCAGGCTGGGGGGAAGAACCCCACCACAAATCTATCTTCATCTTTCCTTCCTTGAGCTTTCACTTGGGTTTGTAAGGCATCTAGAACCTCACTAGCCCAACAGTTGGCCTTCTGGTAATTTCTGTAGGAGCTCCAGCGTGACAGCAATGCTGTGACGTTTCTCATCCAGCGACACTGGCACATCTCTGGCTGCTATCCTTTCTCTCTTCAGCTTCTGGTTACTTTAACAACTTTAGAACCTGATTTATAAGTCACAGTTAATAGGAGGCCTCCTCTTTTCTGAAGGGAAATGGAGATGAAGGAGGTGGATTGGGAGAAATATAGGGCTGTGGAAGCTGTGGTTTGGACGTAATATGTGAGAGAAGAAAAATAAAAAAAATCATTCACATTCTTTAAAACCTCTTTATCTCATATATGCTTCACCTTATGTGGTTCCGCAAAGCCTTTAAAGATCCATGTCAGGCCTACGTCACCCGCTAGAGCAACGTCTTTCTGAGATTTTTTAATACAGTCTCATAAGAGTCAATTAATTATACATTAAATGACACCTCCCTAATGCTCAGTTTCCTCAACAATGACAGGCTCTCTTCTAGTGTGTTTATATCAGTAATATTAATGGAATCTTACCTGCTGAGGAACAGATGTCACCCTCAGATTTTATGTGACAGCATATTAGACACTTTTTTGGACTTTAAGATTATGTATTCTTTTTCTTAAGGGTAGACATGGAATATTAATAATAAATTTGTAGCTTTCACAGCACAAAGACTGATCATATCCACAAGTCTGTTCCACAGCCTCATTGACAAGTATATAAAATGTCTTTTGTATTTTGTTTGTTTAAAAGACTTCCCTAATCCATGTCAGATGATTATCTTTGTTTTTCATGCTCAGCTGTTAAGAAAAGTGTTGTCTTACTGTGACTTGTGTATTTCTCTTACTTTCTGTTGGAAGTCAGACCTGGTACTTCTTTCCTAATTTTATCTTGCTATCTTCCACTCATTACATTATTCTTTCCATGAGTCCAAAGTTTTGGATCCCAGGAAGAGTTCTTTACTACATATTTAATTTATATTCTCTTAATTTTTAATCCAGCCAGGCCTAGGAAATAGCCAGCCAATACCTGCATTTTATATTTCCACTCCTTTTTTTGATTTCTCTGACAAATCATGAGACTAATGCAGTACTAAATCAGTGTGATTTTTCTCCTATCTGCCAAGCTCTTTCTGTGAAAAAAAATCTCAACTCAGTTGCATGTCTTCATACACACAACAAAGGCAAAGCCATGGATGCCACAGTTTTCTTATGAACCCCTACAACATATGCTAATTTCGAAGGATTGTAATGTATTTTCTACTCCATCAGCAGGTTTTTGGGTTTTCCTAGAGTGGCTTCATGGGCTCCAGTCATCAATGATGCCTGCCACCACATACCAAGTAGAAGATGGCCACTCTGTGATTCCTCCCACGGGCACTCCACTGTCAATCAGCTTACCCTCAGCTGCACATCCTACCTCCCATCACAGGGAGCATACCATCACTACTACAGCAAAAAGACACACCATGCCTTACTATGTAAGGAAAGATAGTCATATTGGAATTGCTTCTGCAGACATCCATCTTCACCAAAAGCAGACACCGTTATACATCCTACAGTCCAACACAGGTGACACACAGCTGTTGCTTTCCATGTCATTTCTGGTTTTGTTGGTGTCATATAACGTGTTCTGGATGATAGGGACAAGTTATCTATTCATCCTGTATAGAATACCTATATAGAACAATCAAAGAAATGATTCTATGCACATCTAACTTACTGAGCCAGTGAGTTTACTAGAGTTACTTACAAGTGTTGTCGAGTGCTGTCGAGTGGTGCTCATTGGAGCTATATCAGAAACTCCACACAGCACGGATTACAACTCACTGCAGACATCGAGCTCCGTTAACACATTTTTAAGGCAGTTCATTTGATCTAATCGGAGAATATTCTTCCCTCAGCAATTGGTACTGCTTATATAACCATGGGGATGGACGCTTGTGATCTTCTAAGTTTCATAAACTTCATGAGGCTTTTGATTATTATTTTTAATTATTTATTTAATTTATTTTTTTATTGAACAAATTCCTGCCTCCTCCCTCCCCCTCCTCTCTCCCCTCCCCCTCCCTCTCCAGTCCAAAGAGCAGTCAGGATTCCCCGCCCTGTGGGAAGTCCAAGGTCCTCCCCGCTCCATCCAGGTCTAGGAAGGTGAGCATCCAAATAGACTAGGCTCCCACAAAGTCAGTACATGCAGCAGGATCAAAACCCAGTGCCACTGTCCTTGACCTCTCATCAGCCCTGATTGTCCGCCACGCTCAGAGAGTCCGGTTTTATCCCATGCTTTTTTAGTCCCAGTCCAGCTGGCTTTGGTGAGCTCCCAATAGATCAGCCCCACTGTCTCAGTGGGTGGGCGCACCCCTCGCGGTCCTGACTTCTTTGTTCATATTCTCCCTCCTTCTGCTCCTCATTTGGACCTTGGGAGCTCAGTCCGGTGCTCCAATGTGGGTCTCTGTCTCTATCTCCATCCATTGCCAGATGAAGGTTCTATCTTCCTGATGATTTTGAATTTTGTTTAATGGGCCTTCTCCAGAACACAGTGTTTCAATTCAGAAGGGATAGCTGCAGAACAAAAAAAAGTACTCTTCCCCTTCTAAAGTCCTAACATAGTAAAAGCTCGTCTAAGGCCAGACATAAAAATACATCACAATAGTAACAAGGGCTTGGGGATAATAAATGGTTTGGTTAAAGGTAGGAAGGTATATGAAAGGAAAACAGCATGGGATATAAACAAAGATGATTTACATATATGTTATGAAAGAAAAGACAAAAAAATTCAACTGTAGAGTACATTTTCAACTTCTTTTGAATGTTTTTATTTACTTTTGAGAGTTTATTTTGAAAATACATTCTTTTGAGAATTTATTTTGAGAATACATTTTATCATGTTCTTTCCCCTACTACAACTTCTCTTAGATCCTCTCCTCTCCTTACCCATGCAACTATATGCTCTCTCATACTTGAAAAAATACCGAAGCCAAAAGAATAAACTGTAACAAAAACAACAATAAGAACACAGATGGGCTGCAGAGCTACAAGAAAAATCACCAACTTGATGGTGACTGGGAAATGAATGTGAACAAGATGTGGTGTTCCCCATATCTGATTTAAATGTGATTTATTTTTCAGTGAAAAAACCAGAGAACATAAAAAACTCAGCAGATGTATGGGTGAGTGGAACAATGTCTGGGTGTGGAAATGATTAGTCTGCTTTGCTGTGTCTTTCTCTTGTTTAAGTGTACCACTCACTCATTAGGGGTTTTATTATAGACTGATTCTCATCCACAGTCTACTTTGGTCCTTATCCCAGGTAAAAGTTGGAAATACATACATAGTAATTTTTGCTGTTGTGATCTGGGGAGGAGTCATACCTGCAACTAATTTATTAACAACATGTAAATGTGAAATGCCTCATCCTTTTAACATGTCCAACACAACCTTCTACCACTGAGGTTTAGCTACAACAGAATGTCCATGGAAATGGAAAAACTTTGTAGTAGATTTACAGTACTTCAGCTTGCAGTCAAGGACTTGCATCAAGTGTCAAAAAAGTCATCCCACAGCACAATGGTTAATGTTGTTGGGTTTTGGAACCAGTCAGCAAAACTTAAATTCCTTCTTCCTTAAGTTTTGATAAGAGTCAATATAATTGGCTATATTTCTTGAAAGGGAAAGCTGATTGGACGTGAATCTAAAAAGGACGTTGCAAAAGCGGCTACGGAAGTGCTTCATAACGTGGAAGTCAACATACTGAATGAAAATGCAGCTGCAGCAACAAAGGGTGAAAATTCTGAATTGGGTATAGGTAAGAAGATCAAGTTGACTTATGCAGCACCATAAAGAGAATTGGGTTCTGGTATACTCATCGGCTATGAAAAGTCAAAGCTGGTGTTTCCCAGAAATGAATACTTAATACGTGAGCCAACTACATGAATAGCACTCTCCACACACATGGGAAGTTTAAGGATGAATTAATCATATTTCAACACAATGAGAGAATACCTGAGCAAATCCACTTCAAGTATGAAAGATTTACCTGACAGGCGGTGGGTGTGGTTGGGTCCTAGTTTTCTATTTGGCTTTCTTGACAAAGCCAACATAACACGGGTCCATGTGCAGTGAGACAGAATGTCATGGCTCTGCCATGTGCTGAGCAGAAGACAGAAAGAACAAGGGACAAGATGCTCTTTTCTAATTTTTTATTTTTTATTTTTCATTTTTTTTCCAAGACAAAGTTTCTTTGTGTAACAGCTGCAGTTGTCCTGGAACTAGTTTTTATAGATCAGGTTGGCCTCAAACTCACAGAGATCTGCCTGCCTCCTTTAAAGGCATGGGCCACCACCACCCAGCAAGATGTTCTTTTAAAATGCAAACGCACAGTAGCTTATCTCCTCTAACTTACCCACTAGTTTCTAGAATCTTATAAAAAATATGGTTAATCTGTGAATACAGTTATAAAACACTAATGATGCTGGAGGCCTCAAACAGAATCCCCAAAGTCCTGAGTGATGGGGCCATAACAGTGCAGAGTGTTTGCACATCCCCTATCTGTGCAAAGAATCCCCAAAGTCCTGAGTGATGGGGCCATAACAGTGCAGAGTGTTTGCACATCCTCAAACAGAATCCCCAAAGTCCTGAGTAATGGACCCATAACAGTGTAGAATGTTTGCACATCCCCTATCTGTGCAAAGGGTGCATAGTACATGCTTTTTTGGAAAATGACCAGAAGGGGAAAGGTGTCCAATCCTTTTTACAGTCTGGCTTCTTACATATGCTGGTATTGATGTAGCTCTCTCCAGCCCCTATTCTCCTGTCACATAAATCAACTGATCAACTTAGCTCTCAAGATCCAATCAATCACCTTTCAATAACCATCAACTAATGACAAAGTCTTCATTGTGTGGAACTTATCAGGAGACATTTCATAAAGGATTAAAGATTAGCAAATAAATCACTGTCTTAGTGATTTCAACTTTCCCTGAATGTTGAAAAGTATATAAACCAGAAAATTTCCAGCAAGTATTATTATTGTTGTTGTTGTTGTTGTTGCTGTACATGTGGAACAACTGACTTTTTTATTACTTTCAGTGTATGAAACCAAGAGGTGCAAAAGTATGACTGTTCTGGAAGCTGGAAATAATACAATGAAGATTGACTGCAATAGTGTTCTCAAAGAAATCAAGAGTAGAGGTGGTACATTTAATAGAGAGCTTCTCTTTCTTAGTAACTGGGCTGGGGGCACACACTCACATTTCTAAGGGAGAGGGACTCCAACAGTAGGTAGAGAAGATCTTCCTTGACTACTCACTAGGCACAGCTGAGCCAGTGTTGAGGGACTCTCGTAAGGACAGCATTTCTTCAGCATACACTAGAGTAAGAGCACAGCTGTACTGCTGTGCTTCCTGACAAGGGACAAACTTGTCACATTTCGGTACGATAGTCTGTTATCCTAAAATTCAATGGTGCCAGGCAATCATTGCCCTGACCATTATTGATTTTGAGATTTTGAGACTATTTTTATTAAAGCAGTTACTCAGTTGCTCTCTCTTTCTTGACAAACTCATTCTTTTAAAAGACCACATGGAAAATACTGTAGGATTGGGGCTCCATCATAACTATTCAAGTTTGCTGTTTTTTTTTGTTTTGTAGATGCAGGCATAGATGATATGGTGATCAAGAACCATGGTTGTATCAATCAAACTTTCTATGAAAAGACAGAGCATGTTGGGTTTGACATTATCTTCAATAAATGTCCCAGGAAAAGGGAGGATAAGGTGGAGAAGGAAGGAAGAAAAAAAAAAAAAGAAAAAACGCATACAAACAGTTTCACATAAAAAGATCTGGAAATAGAGGATACGCTTGTTGTATTTACTCCACAAATTTCTAATACTCCTGCACCACCCCTACTAATTGAAATCTAGAAATCCAAGAAAGAGAAAGTTCTAACAATGAGTTAATTTTTTCTTTCTATTAATTTTATTTATTTATGTATTTTTTAAGGGATGAGTGCCCTGTCTGCATGTATGCCTACATGCCAGAAGAGGGCACCAGATGCCATTTTAGATGGTTGTGGGTTATTATGTCATTGCTGAGAATTGAACTCAGGTCCTATGGAAGAGCAACCAGTGCTCTTAAGCACTGAGCAATCTCTCCGCAAACAATGAGTTGACTTTTTGAGATGGAGTAAACAATAACAGAGGTGGTGACTGACTTTAGTTTGAAGCAGGAGGTGGGTCTGGAGGAAGCCTGAGAGCTTTGCTCTCTGCTTTAGCGTCCCTGGGAAGGCCATCCTATGCTTTGTCTTTGTACATTTGGAAAAACACTCGTCAACCATTCTATATATATATAGAATGGTGGAGAGGGAGTCAGAATGAATGATTAGATAACCTTGAAGAACCTTGAGGTATAAGGTGGTAATTCATTTTCCTTTAGTCTTATTGTCCTTTGGAGCACAAGCAGTTGCTAACCATGTTCTATACACACACACACACACACACACACACACACTGTGCATATATATGTGTGTATATATCTATATGTGTGTCTATCATACAATGATTTTATATGCACATATATTGTCTTAGCTAAGTCTCTAATGCTGTGATGAACCACCATGACTAAAGGAACCTTGGGGAGGAAAGAATTTATTTCACTTACACTTCAGTTAACAGCCCATTTATTACTGAGAGAAGTCAGAGCAGGAACTCAAACAGGGAAGAAACATAGAGGCTTACTGGCTTCTTCCCCACAGCTTGTTCAGCCTGCTTTGTTTTAGAACCCAGAATTATCTGCCCAAGTATCCACCATCCATCAGCCCTTCCACAGCAATCATTAAGAAAATGCCCCACAGGCTTTTCCACAGTCCATCTTTGGAGGCATTTTCTCATTTGAGGCTCCCTTCTCTTCAGTTACTGTAGCTTGTGTCAAGTGGCATAACACTAGCCAGGACATGGTATCCTCTTCCACAATCCCTCTCTCTCTGGGTGTACATATATGTGCATATATACATTTGTGTGTGTCTCTGTGTGAAATTCCATGCCTAAAACTATTTAGAATGTGTTATATGTGCAATTTAATGGATGCCCATGGGTAATTTAACTAAACATGCTGTGTTTACTTCATGGTTCATATGTAAGACATTTGTCTCAGAGATCTTTAACATGCAGTGCCCTCCTTATCTCAGAACTCCACAGCAGGGAATCATCACCACAGTCATCTTCTAAGTCTCTCCCTTACAGAAGCAGCAAACAAAACAAATACCTTTTCCTTTACATAGTAAAAAATCTCTAATATGATTTTTCCCTCAGATGAGACTCCAGTTGCTCTTATTGCATATCAATCCCTCGGAAAGTTTCTAAATGGATCATATTTTAGTAACAAAGAAGGGGTTACGGAAGTAAAATTGAACTCTCTTATTGTGAGTGGCGCCATTCGTTCAGAAGTCAAACCTGTCCTATCTGAACCTGTAATCCTGACTTTACAAAATATTCAGGTGAGCGTACTCTCAAAGTATCCTTTAAAAACAATTTAAAAGTTTATTTTTATTGCATGTGTGTGAGTGTTTTGCCTGCGTGGACATTTGTGAACAAGGCCATATAGTTCCCTCAGAAGATTATTATCAGTTCTCCTATAACTAGACTTCGAGACCGTCATGGGACACAATGTGGGGGCTGAGAATGGAACCTGGGTCCTCTGTAACAGCAATTAATTCTCTTAAATTCTAAGAGATCATCCTCTCAATGAAGTATACAAAGTGACAGGTGATTTAATTAAATGTCTGGAAAGGGATGGGATCTAACTGTGATCTTTGAAAAATAAGAGAAATTGCAAAATGTTGAAAACGTCAATTCTTTGTAACTTCACTGCTGTTACTTGTATTTTTATATCAACAGTTAATCAGTCATTGCTCAGAAAGGGTCCATAAGGCCCCATCTTCCAATGTGGAAGGACTCGATTAAAGAAGACAATGTTTTCAGTAGCCCCTAGGTTCAAATGGGTACTTCAAAGCCTTCAGTCACACAGATGATCTTGTTTAAATTTAGTGGCAATTGAAACAAAACAAGAGACATGAAAGTTGGAACACTAAGGTCAGTGGGGCTGTGAGTGATATTAAAGAGTGTGAGGGGACACACTAATAAGAATATACTTTACACACATATGGAATTGTGAAAAGGACATTTGATGTGTTACACATTTTTATGATTTCAAGTGTATGTATTGACGGGAATGTAGAAAAAAGAGAATCATTGCATAATGTAGGTGGGAATATATAACTATTTAGGATAACAATATTGAACCCATGAAAAAAAAAACAAGAAATAAAATGGCAGTGGAATCCATCAGTCCCCCTATTCCATACATTCAAAGGATGTAAACCAATGTTTTGGAAAACAACTGTACTTCAATGATTCCAGTAACCTTAGCCACAGTAGCCAATTGGGGGTAAAATTCTTACATCCCCTCAGTGAATAAAATTTTAAAAATTTAATAAAAAATATGAAGTTACTTTGGATTATATAGTATCAAATGGTCAGATTTGAAAATAAGCAAACAAGTAGCATTAGGTAAACTGGCAGGTTGTTTTTAGTGAAACATCTATACATATGTGAGATGACAATACTAATAAAGGAAGGAATTCAAAAGGAGCAAGGAAGGTTAAGTGGGAATGTTTGGAGGAAAGAAAGGAAAAGGGCACACATTAGTCACAGTTCTTTAACAGAACAGAAATGATAGAATGATAGAAAGGCTAAGTAGTTGTTCAGTTACTTGTTCAGTCCATGAGACTGGACGCCTCAGCAGTCTCAGTTTTGTGATAGAGTCCCAGGGATTTCCTGAAGAGCTGGTGGTCTTCAGTCTATGTTAGAATCATAAAGAAGTTGTAGAACACCAGTGAGGGAATGCTTCAGCATCAGGATAGATGAAATTGTGAGCAAGAGTGAGGGTAAACAAGCAGAAAGCAGTGTCTTCCTTTTCCCATGTCCTTTTGATGTCGGCTGCCACTAGAAGGTGTGGTTCAGATTTAGGAGGAAGTCGTCTGACCTCAAATAAACTTTAAATAATGCAATCAAGAAAAACCCCTCGTACATATGGCCAAGTGCTTGTGTTTTAGTCAATAATGAGTGCACTCAATACAGGAGAAATGGTGTGACTATAATATTCTTCCAAATATAGTCATAAAAACAGAAAAGAAAATAGCCTAGGCTGGTCCAATAAACCCGTTATGATCTCACTCACACTGGAAACCTAAACAGTAGAAATCATGGTTTCTGTACAGTAGAGCCTACTAGGAGATGTGTTTTGTGGAAAATGGGAAAACATGGACCACAGAAAACAAAATTTAAGTTGTAACATTTTGGATGCTTAATGTGACTTAGCATAATAGGAATGAATCTTGACATGATTAAGTGTTTATATTAGATAAATTAACTATATAAGATGATGGGTTAAATAATGACATTTCTTGCATTTATATAATGTATTAAGATTACAATCATGCCCCCGCATTAATGTATTTTGATTCTTCTGTTGTGTGACACATTTCCTAGAGAGATGAATATAAACATCTATTCACCTATTATATGGAACACACAACAGAGCAAAGTAACTATACCACCAAATTCTAATTTAGTGAAGCAATGAATTGTTAGGGTAAGGGTGAGTGGCTTCTCATAGAGCATAGATGTCTAAAAGACAAGTTCCTCACTGAAAGGACCAACTGGACATGAATAAGGATTCCTGAAACCTGGAAGTCCTGGGAGCTCCACATGTCTTCTAGGCAGTTGTAAAGGTGAAAGTTTCCTTTACTCAACAGTCCTCACAACTTTTATAACCTTAATGAAGGATGGGACCTTATGATTCAGGAATTTCCTTAGACTTCTGAGTTGTATACTTCCTGAATCTCAAGGATGAATGCTTCAACTCAGAAGATATTAGCATAAAATATTCTCACTCTATGTCATTTTTTTCAATTAAAATATAATTACCTAATTTCCCTTCTTCTTTCCTAACTCCAACACCCCCTCAAACATCCCATCTTTGCTCTTTCTCACATTCCTGGTCTCTTTTTCTTTAATTTCAAACACAATAGATCTCCAAGATCGCCACTAAATTTAAAGTAGGATGTGAGGGATATGCTTAATAGCTTGGTTCTTATTTTAGGTAATGGTTCAATTGCTGTGATAAAATTTGGCTTACACTTCCACAGTACTGCTCATCACTGAAAGAAGTTAGGCCAAGATCCTGGAGTCAGGAACTGATGCAGAGACCATGGATGAGTGATGTTACTGACTTGTTTCCATATGGCTTGCTCAACTTTTTTTCATATAGAATCCAGAACTACCAGCCCAGAGGTGGCACTACCTATTATGGGCTGGGCCCTCCCCAATTGATCACTAATATACAAAATTCATTGCCCCTGGATCTCATGGAGGCAGTTCCTCAACTGGAGCTCCTTTTTCTCAGCTGACTCTAGCTATGTCAAGTTGACACACAAAACCAGTCAGTATCACTAGCTCTAATATTTCTTTTATACTGTCTGCATCTATGGGTACATCCTACAACTCAAAGATATTCATGTTTTGTGAATGGTACCTCAAGAAAGTGGGGAATAAAATTTTAAGCTGCCTGGGTACTTCCATAAAGGGAAACTATTATCATGCTGAAACCCATGTAGGCAATGGGGTCTTGGGAATTGTGAATACTGAGAGTCAGAGGTAGGAAAGAGGGACATGCCTTTTCCAGGAGGAACCTGGAGCAGAAAGAGAGATTGAAAAAAGACACCTGACATCTCTCTTCAAGCAGTGATCTCATTCTTGCCCCTCATTCATTTTGTCACTGACAAGAAACTGATAAATGAGTTTTAAGTCAATGCACAGGGCACTGAGATAGAGACAAATACCTGTGTGGGACAAGAAGCTGTGAAATGTCCCCAGTTATGTCTTCTCATTCTGGTGTGTGTCAGATTAATCTTTGTGGAGTAGTTATAATTTGGAGTGCAACAAAGACAGAGGGTACAGGAAAGGTGAGGAGTGAGAAGGATTACAGAAAAAGATTAGAAGGGAAACTATTAAATCACATGTGCAAGTCAATGTCACATATCCTGATTAAAGATAAATAAAAGTTTGAATTATGAAACAAAAACCATGTTTCTTCATTCTGTTTTCTTTGCAGCCCATTGACCCAAGAGCAGAGCATCTTTGTGTCTACTGGGAAGAATCAGAGGATGGGGGCAGCTGGTCTACTAAGGGCTGTTCTCACATGCACACCAATGACTCCTACACCACCTGCAAGTGCTTCCACCTGTCCAGTTTTGCTGTGCTCATGGCTCTATCCCTTGAGGTATCAAGTCTTACAGAACTCGACCATGAAAGTGATTTTCACTTAAATATATGTCTATAAAAGATATCCAGAAAAAGGAGTTAATTGTGTGTAGGTTTGGTGAGAGATGATTCCAAAAAACACCCATATTAAGAGAATGAGTGTGGTCTTGTTGCCACCTCTGTGATCTCACTCGTGTCCTGTTGAAAGATTGATTCCAATGTTTTGTCAGCTGAACTGTCTAGGAACGTGTCCTCCACCCTCCCCGTCCCTCACTCTTCCATGTACATCTCTCCTGAAACTATGTGCTTGGTCTAAGATGCTGTCCATTGATGAAAGAGGAGGGCCACAGTTTTGTCAAATGTTTTGTTAGTTACTTTACTGGCTGTCATAAAATACTGTGACTGAAAGCAATCTAAAGATGAAGTTCATTTGACCACCTGGTTCCAAAGCGATGGTGTCCATCACAGCACAGAATGAGGGGCATTATAGCGGAATCAGGGAGCTGAGAGTTTACATTTTGTTCACACACAAGAAGTAGAGAAAGAGGGGGCTGGAGAGATGGCTCAGAGGTTAAGAGCACTTATTGTTCTTTTAGAGGTCCTGAGTTCAATTTCCAGCAACCACATGGTGGCTCACAACCATCAGTGCCCTCTTCTGGCCTGCAGGCACACATGCAGACAGAACACTGTAAACAAAATAAATAAATAAATAAATCTTTTTTAAAAAAGAAAGAAAACATTAAAAAAAAGAAGTAGAGAAAGAAAAAGAAGAGGGGGAATGGGGTACAGTTATAAACCCTCAGTGCCTGTACAGAGTGACATATATCAACTGGAAAGACTGTACCTCCTTAAAAGCTCTGCAATATCCCCAAAGTACACCATCAACTGGGGAATGAATATTGAAATACACAAACCAATAGGGTCATTTTACTTCAGATCCCCCACAAAGGTACATGTGTAGCTTCACTCCCCTGATAGAAATGCCCCCAAAAAATTCTCAATAAATACCAGTATTGGATTTTGAAGATTAAATAGGGACAGTCTGTGTGGCAGTATTTGCAAGTTAATTACAATTTTGGGCATATAGCACCCCTGGAAAATGCTTGGAATCACTGCAGAACCCACAGCTCAGAGTTATTATAACTATTAAAGGATGGTGTGGCTTGGGGATGACACACAGCCCCTTTTCAGTGATTTGACTTCACCTGTGTGCAGTGGTAACATTTCCTGAAGATTTCATAGTAACAGGAAAGCAGAATTATGACTCATGTCATTTTAAGAAATACAGTAGTGGAAACATAAGGTAGGTGGTGGGTTAAGCAAACCTAGGGAAATCTTGACTCTTCCATAAGTGTGTCTGGAGTAAGTACATCCCATCAAGGAAAGCGATCAAAGTTTGGGAAATGGAGTTTGCATACCCCAAAGTAGTAGAGGCCTAGAGGCTCTGGAACTGGAAGCATTATTTCACTTGCAAGATAGTTATATCCAAACGTCCCTGGTTAAACCAAACTAAGGCAATTGGTTATCATCAAAGGTTCATCATGGCCCCTAGGATTTTTAGATGTAAACTAAGTGTCAGGTAATGTAAGGTGAAGGAAACTCACCTAATGGCTTCCTATCAACATGAAATAACAAAACTACCAAAGCTTCTACTTCATAGGAAATAAAAATACTTATTTTGGGGCTGACACTGACTCAGGAAAACAAATTCAAATTACTCTAAACACCATGCTTTTATAGTAAGAGAACAAAGGAAATAATATATAAAGTCAATTCAAATGCAATTGTGGAACATCAGACAGGTGGAAATCTGCTACAACCTGAGATGCTGATGACATCTTGAATTTTAGGTTAGTGGAAGTTAGGGGTTTGCTTGTATGTTTCTAAAGGATGTACAGAAGATACATGAGGATGCTAAGCAACACACAGGCTAAAGGCAACTATCATAATGCTACAGCCATTCTGCAATGTTCCAATTCTCCATAGTCACAGGTTTCAGTTAGTAAGCCAGCCTTGTAAAATGTTTAAAACTTATGGCTTTTAATCTATAATTTAAATGTCCACTACCCTGTTTTACTTTAGGCCGTGTTTATCAACTATTTTACTATTCAGTGTCCAACATGCTGTGTCCTTCCACACGCATGTTTCATTAAGTTAACATTTATTAAGTGAATAACATGTGTCAAGCATTGATCTCAGTCTTGATGGTACAAGAGATAACAAGACAAGGCAAGACCCAGGCTTCCGAGTGCATCACGACGTTCATGCTAACTGTCCTGTAGACATGGAGAGTCTGATGTATTCTTCTGTGGCTTGCAGGAGGACTCTGTGCTTTCTGCACTGTCTGTGATAACCTACGTGGGTCTGAGTCTCTCCCTCTTGTGCCTGTTCCTGGCGGCTGTGACCTTTGTCCTGTGCCAGCCCATCCAGAATACCAGTACGACACTCCACCTGCAGCTCTCCATTTGCCTGTTCCTGGCCGATCTCCTCTTTCTCACCGGCATCAACAGAACTGAGCCTAAGGTTGGTGGCTGAGTCAAGTTACTTCATTGTCCTATGGGCTTTAGCTGCCTTGACTTGTGCAAGCACAAAGAAAGAGGGATTCATCAGTAGAGATCTTGGGAAACGCTCTGTTGAGGGAGGCTCCTCGTTCATTCCCGCTTGGCCTGACTCCAAATAATCACACAGAAACTATATTATTTAAATCACTGCTTCGCCAATCACTTAAGCATATTGCTAGCTAGCTCTTATATCTTTGGTTAACCAGTTTCTATTATTTTGTATTTTATCACAACGTTTGTGGCCTACTTGGCAAGGTTCTGGCTGGTGGCTTGCGTCTTTCTCCTCTGGCGGCTCCATGGCTTCTCCTGACTCTGCTCTCTCTCTCTCTCTCTCTCTNAATATGTGTGTGTGTGTATTGCCTGCCTGGTTATATTCTGTTAAGCCATTGGATGAAAGCAGCTTCTTTATTCATTAACCAACAAAAGCAACACATATACAGAAGGACTTCCCATACCAATGCATGATGAAAATCTCAGTTCTCTATCTGTGTAGAATTGAAGGAGTTTGGATATTTGATAATTTTGGAGCTGCAAGCATTCCAAACATCAATGTTACCTGACAATGTTCTTGGTGTCTGTGGTTCTTATTCCTGGTGTCTGTCACCTTTCTTCTCTACCAGTCCATCCAGAATACCATGGACATGTGTAGTGCATGGACCCGAGTGCACAGGTGTGAGCAGTTATGTGTGAATGTAGCCAGAGCAAGTTGTCAGATACCTAGCTCTATTGTATCCTCCTTATTACCTTGAGATACAGCCTCTCACTAAATCAGGAGCTTGCCATTTTGACAAGGGTGGATGACCAGAGAGTTCTGGGGATGTACCTGCCTCTCCATCCCCATTATGTTGGGACTGATGGCATCTATGGTTATGTCCAACTTTTATGTGGTTGTTGGAAATTTGAACTCATATCCTTATGTTTGCAAAGCAAGTACTCTTACTCATCGAGTCATTTCCCAAGCCACAGCTAAGTTTAGTATCTGTGAATATAGGTAAACAGATTTGAAGTATTCCAGTTCTTCGTCTACATGGTAAAGATATCTCTGTCATTATTTATATGCAACTTTGAAGTCACTCTTTAGTCCCAATAGAAAATGGTTAAAATAAAATATCCGCTAAAAGAGGAAGTATATATGCATCAAACCAGGGATGCATACAATTTCTTTTCATACTCTACTTGTTAGAATCCTTCCCCTTGGCCACAGCCAACTATAGGGCATGATGGGTAATATAACCCTTCCACAACCTACCAGACTCCAAAATCAGGGTTATGATTAGAGGTTTGAAGTGACTGACAGATGATTTTCTACACTGCTTTGTAGGTGATTCTGAATTCTTCATCCTAGTTGCTGTTTGAACTTGTTGAAGTGGCTTCTCACTTTTATAATGCAGGAAAATATAATTATTGCATCGATTTCATTGACAAATTTTGTTCAAATTGATTTTATATACAATATGTTTTTAGAAAATTCATTTTCTGTTTCTTTCTTTTTTCATTAATATTAAAAATTTCCACCTCCTCTGCTCTTCCCATTTCCCCCCTCCCACTATTCCCCCTCCTCCCCTCTCTCTACAGTCCAAAGAGCAGTCAGGGTTCCCTGCCCTGTGGGAAGTCCAAGGTCCTCCCCTCTCCATCCAGGTCTAGGAAGGTGTGCATCCAAACAGACTAGGCTCCCACAAAGCCAGTACATGCAGTAGAATCAAAACCCAGTGCCATTGTCCTTGGCTTCTCAGTCACCCCTCCTTGTCAGCCATGTTCAGAGAGTCCGGTTTTGATCACATGCTCCATCAGTCCCAGTCCAGTTGGCCTTGGTGAGCTCCCAATAGATCAGCCCCACTGTCTCAGTGGGTGAGTGCACCCCTCGCGGTCCTGACTTCCTTGCTCATGTTTTCCCTCCTTCTGCTCCTCATTTGGACCTTGGGAGCTCAGCCCAGTGCTCCAATGTGGGTCTCTGTCTCTATCTCCATCCATCGCCAGATGAAGTTTCTAAGGTGATATGCAAGATATTCATCAGTATGGGTATAGGATAGGGCCAGTTCAGGCGCCCTCTCCTCAGCTGCTCAAGGAACAAGCTGGGGACATCTCCAAATATACACTTTAAGGTAGTTAAGTTATGGGTCATGTATTTGAATGTGCACTACAAAACCCACTTGTTAATGACTTAACCTCAAATATAATAATGATAAGGGTTGATCCCAAAAATATAGAGGGACACAAGTGGATACTTCAAAGTAGTCAGAAACAATGCATTTTACTATTTCAAGCATCAGCACAGCGAAATGGTAAATGTCTGGCTGATAAATATATTAATAACCTTAACTTGATTATCCCATGTGTATACACATATTAAAGTGCTGTAACATACCACAGAACCATATTCAATTAATAGGCATCCATTAAAATAATTATGCAAGGGCTTGTTCATGTAATCAGCTACTTTGGAAGCTATAGGAAGATAGTGAGTCAGAGGCCAGCCCTGGCAACATAGTGAGACTCAAGCTCAAAATAAATAATAATACAGAAAAGTGGTGGTCCCATCAAGAAGAGATTGCTACACTGCGCTCATCCCTCATCAACTGTTCATTTTTGATATTGTTTCTGTATAGAAGGATGAGGGTTTCATTTCATTGTATGTGTTTTTCTGTCATAGGCTGATGTAAAAAATGAAGTCCTCCCAGAAGTGGCCCTTTAAACTTTGACTTCCTGTTAAAGGAAGCTAGAAACATCTGTCTGTTAGTAAATATCTGGTCTTCGGTAAGGTGCTTTGCATCACTGAATAAACAGAGGCCAGATCAAGCTAATGAGCATATTCATTTTTCTAAAGATTATCATCTTGTGTAGCAAGGACACTTGAAATCTACCCTTAGCAGTTTCTGAATGCTGGGTATGATGCAAACTGATAAAGAAGTTACCTCACCTGTTTAAGGCTCTGCAAAAACAACCAAACCCCAAAGCAAACATACACAAACAATAAGAAAACCCAGAAAGCAAAACATGAGATAAAATAAAACAAAATAGGTAAAAACTCTGTCTCCACTTGCATGGTAATGATAAAAATTTCTTGGTAGAGGGGTATTTTGTTTCTTATATGTATTTGCTTTTATTTATTATCCTTATATATCTTGTTAATGTTTTCCCATAAGGATGAAGATTTCATGTTTCCTTTTGTATTTGACAGTTTTTGATTTTAGGATCCGAATTCATACAGTGATTAGGGAGTAATGTTACAGTTCCAACTGCCAAGTATTTGTGATACTTATGAACCACAAGCAGGTGTATATTTTAAAACTCAATTTCCTAATATTCATTTCTATTATTAGCTTAGTTATGATGTGTAAGCTTGGGTATCCATCTATTGAAAGTGGTTAAATCTCATCCTGAGAAAACATTTATTGTATTATGTAGAAGTAATAAACAGTAAATGTCGTTCTCTGAGGGCTCATTATCATTTTCCCTAAATACAGATCCCACAACACAGAGTTGATGAACACTCATTATCATTTTCCCTAAATACAGATCAGATGAACACCCTTTTTTTTATTTCCTTTTATGTAAGACATATTCAGCTAGCAAGGAAAATAATGCCAAGATGGACGGAGAGTCAATGAATGGCTATTTTCTTTTTTTTTAAATTGATTTTTATTGAGCTCTACATTTTTCTCTCCTCTCTGCCTTTCCCCTCCCCTTCAACCCTCCCCCAAGGTCCCCATGCTCCCAATTTACTCAGGAGATCTTGTCTTTTTCTATCTCCCAGGTAAATTAGATCTATGTATATTTTTCTTAGTGTCCTCATAGTTTTCTAAGTTCTCTGGGATTGTGATATGTAGGCTGGTTTTCTTTGATTTATGTCTATTTTCAATAAAGTGCCCAGCATAAACAATTGCAGGTATATTCCCCTGAAGACCTCCAGGAAGCAGCACAGAGCACATGCCAGAGAGTTCTGTTTAAAGTTCCAGGGCAATGGAGTATGGATCTACAAACTCTTTACCAGTTTAAAGCATGTTCTGACAGTATCTATTTCTTGGCATTTTCTGACCTGATAATTGATTTATGTGGAAAGTAAATTTCAATGATCAGAAAGGGCTGCCTCAATGGGCATTGTCTTCAAGAAAAGTGTTACAGACCCTGTTGAGATCTCAGGTCAACATACAGTGAATAGTAGGTACTGAGAACTGGATCGGTACAGCCTGCATCTGTCCCACACTCTCATTCTTTCCTCTTAGGTGCTGTGCTCCCTCATTGCAGGAATGTTGCACTACCTCTACTTGGTTTCCTTCATGTGGATGCTTTTGGAAGGGCTACACCTTTTTCTCACTGTGAGGAATCTCAAAGTAGCCAACTACAGCAGCTCAGGAAGATTCAAGAAGAGGTTCATGTATCCTGTAGGCTACGGGATTCCTGCCTTTATTGTTGCTGTGTCTGCAATAGCCAGACACAAGAATTATGGAACACATACCCAGTAAGCATAGTGTGTGTGCAAGGTGGAAATGTATAAATGTAACTTAAACATCAAACTTTTCATTGGACAACTATCTTTCTCTTTTTATATTGTTCTTCAAATCAGCCTGTCTGCATATTACTGTCTTTTGCAAATATCAGCAGTGTTGGTTTTGAGTGTCTTGTTTCATTGTTGATGGTTGAGTTCACATTTATCCTAGCTATAACATAGAAAGTTGTCCATTCATAGATACAATTTTTGCCCATAATATATATATATATATATTCCAACATATATATGACAAAATAGATAATAGATACTGTTTTATTTACTTATTTTTGGTTGGTTTGTTTGAAACATGGTCTCATGCATCCCAGGTTGGCCTGGAACTCACTATGTAGTCAAGGATGTCTTTGAGCTCCCCATGTTCCTGGCTCCATCTCCTGGGTGATGAAATCACAGGTTTTCAGCCCCACACCAAGTTTCCGCAAAGACCTGGGTTCTTTGTGTATGCAACAAGAGCACTTTCATAACTGGTCCATACCTTTTGTCCCGTATTTTCTAATACTTAGAAACATAATCTAATGGAAATCCTAGCAGCTCTGGTGTCTGATCACAGTGGGGATTTTGGTAAAATGAGAGCTCCTTTAACAAATGAATCTACAGACATAAAAAAATGAACCCAACTTCATGAAATTAAGGAATGGTCAAAGCAATTCCACAGTCTCACACTAAATTCCCATGGATTATATTCTCCAAGAACTTTAAACAGTAGGTAGATATTAACAGAAAAATGCCAAGTACTAAAGGCTGGTTTACAGCTTGTGTGTCTCTAATATAACTCCATGAAGAGCCCTACAATCAGAATAATCTTGGTAACTAAATGGTGTACATGATTAGGAGCAGTCAAACTGTTTGCATAAAGGGAGAAATGCTAAATACCTTAGGTCTGTAGACCAAACTGTCTCTGTAGAAATCACTTCATATTACACGGCTATGGTGAAAGCAGTCATGATGGTATGTGAAGAAGTGCACCTGAGTCTCAGTAAGATTCTACATACAAAATATGAGTAGTTTGTAGCTGCATTTGCTACATAGTTGTAGTTTTCAACCCAAGAAGATAACTTAAGACTGAACGTTACTGAATCCTAAACTTTGGCTGTGGGACATTATAATTATTCATAGTGACATGCCGGGACCCAATTTAGAACATGACATTTTTCATGGCAAGTTGTGACAATCTTCAAGAAATAGAGTATTTTGTATATGAAATATATTTAATTTTGTCTAGTTGACTTAATCTAGAGTTAACTATTGGTTTGACTGCCTCAATATAGCTACCAGTGTCATTATAAAAACTATACCTATAGAGTCTTGACCTTTACCCCAAATTTCCATGTATATCATTCCACTTAACCCTTACTATACAGTTTGTAGATGAGAAAATTCACAAATGCCCAGGAAAAAAATTTAGACCAAATAGAGAACTGTAGAGAGATGTTTACAGATAGTCAATCTTACTAAGAGAAATGATTTGCAAAAATTGTTTTAAATATATGACATTCAGAATTCCTAGAGAGTTATCTTGTATATACTGTAGAAATTACCAAAAGTCTAATGGAGAAGAAATAAGATCTTGAATTAATAACCCAAAACTGTGGAGAAATGACAGCTACTGAGTTGTAAGTACCCCGCTGTTTCTCCACTTCCTACTTCAGACCCGAGAAAGCTCATGCTGTTGCACCCAGTTCACGTCAGACAAGAACATCTGAAATCCCGGTTGGAAACAATTGTTTCGCACTGTGCTAGATCAACTTCCAGGCCGTGTGTTCAACTCCTGTAGTGAGAGAGACAACTAATCCTCATTTCCTATTCACAGCTGCTGGCTCAGCCTTGATAAAGCATTCATCTGGAGCTTCCTGGGGCCAGTGGCAGCCATTATCTTGGTAGGTGACTGCTATTAGTGGGTGTGCCTGTATTCCATCAAAAATAGAATGCATTCCTTTCTGTTGAAGTGGAACTGAGGTGAAGATGTGAACCCAGAGCGCAGGCTGAGAGGCCCTTGTCCTGAATGTGTGCTTATCACCCACTCGTCCTCATTGGCTCATCACCCACTGGTCCTCATCACCCACTGGTCCTCATCACCCACTGGTCCTCATCACCCACTGGTCCTCATCACCCACTCGTCCTCATCACCCACTCGTCCTCATCACCCACTCGTCCTCATCACCCACTCGTCCTCATCACCCACTGGTCCTCATCACCCACTGGTCCTCATCACCCACTCGTCCTCATTGGCTCATCTCCCTTTAGCTGATTTTTCAAATTTATTGTTGAGGATTTTATGCAAATTCTATCTATCTCCTATTCTCATCCAATTCTCTTCCCAAGTTTACATCCTCTTCTTTTATTTACATATCCAACTAAGTCTAACTAATACAGCCCACATGTGCATGGCTGTAGGGCCTAGCCTATCAGTGGCTATATACAAAAAGGAGTATTGGGTGTCTTTCCTATTCTAGCTATCAAGGCCATTCGTTCCTTAGCTGCGGTGAAGCTGCCACAGTTCCTTCCTCACCCGTGCTAGAGTTTTTGCTGGCTTGATTGTGTGTGAATAACCACAACGGCTGCGAGTCTATGAATACGACAAGGAAGTCATACACAGATAACAGCATTCCCAGCACCACCCCCCATCCTTCATCTCTTATATACTTTCTAGTTTCTTTAGTGCAATTTAAATTATATAATATAACAGTCCACCATGGGTTGTTTTTAAAGTTCTAGATTAATTGGTTCATTGGTTGATTTGTACATTCAGAAACATTGAGCGAACATTCAGCTACTCTGTTCAAGATGTTTTCCTATTTTCTAGAAACTTCATAATTAATAGTTGCCTAGGTCAGGAATGAAAGCTTTCTACTTTCAAAACATCCTATTTTGAATAAAAGACATAGGAAACTAAATAAGAAGTGGGGGCAACTGCACAAATATTATTTACTGCATACAATAAATAGGTCAGAGAATGACCATGGAATCTATGTGGGGCCTGAATTATTTGTGGAATTAGTCTCACAGCAATCAAAGTTGTATTTTATGAAGAAAGGATCGTAAAAGAAAACTCCAACTCATTTTTTTTCATGACACTCCCACAGATCAACCTGGTGTTCTACTTTCAAACTATATGGATTTTGAGAAGTAAACTTTCTTCCCTCAATAAAGAAGTTTCTACACTTCAGGACACCAAGTAAGAATGTAACAGAATTAGCTTTTTCCATTGCAACATTTTTTAGGAGAGAAACATTGGATGCAAAACATGGTAATGGGTCTGACTGTGGTTCATGGATAGAATTCTTGGTTAGAATGTTTGAAGACCTGGCTCCCATACCAAGACCAACAAGCAAAACCATAAAAACTTACAAATATAGAAAACAAAATTCTCCATATATACCACCTGATTGTAATCAGGAACATTAAATAGAAGTAAGAAACTTCTCTATTTCCGATAAACAAATATGCTTCTTCAATTATGTACTAAAGAAATTTTTATTATTTAGTTTTTGACCAATCCAAATTAAGGGAGAATGGATCTATTTTACTTTACAGGTCTTGACTGTGTATAGTCACAGTCATAGGAAGGTCAAGGCAAATAGATCTAGAGCTACTTGACTGTACTTCATTAACAAATGGAAAGAAGATGGTGGTGAATGCATGCAATTATACAGATCCCCTTATATAATCCAGCATCCCAACTCAGGGACTGCTACTGCCCATGGTAGGCACAACTTCTTTCCTCAATTACTGTAATCAAAACAATCGTTCACAGAGATTCTCAGAGGTCAACCTTATTTTAATACTCCCTCACAGATGTGTTCAGGATCAGGCTATGGGTGACTTTACTTCCTACTAATGAGAAAATTAATGTATCACACTCCATCCCTTATTAACTTGATACCCAAACACTTCACTTTCTAACCAGTACATTATATTCCTTGTTTTTACCAGCTCACAGCCAACTCATAATGGAAAATCCATGTAGTCTAAATCAAAGGCCCCTGGGGGCATTACCAATTTCAACATCTTAAAATTCCTCAAGTGTGAACTGTTGTAATTTTTCTTTTATTCTTATTTCATATATTATGTTTACTGAATTTTTCCCTCTTAACACTTCTCCCAGTCCTTCCCCTTCCCTGCTTTCTCATATTCATTCCTCTTCCTTTCCCTTCCAGAAAAAAAAAAAAAAAAGAGTAGGCCTCCAAGGGCTTTCCACTGTGCACAGCTAACAAGCTACTATAAAAGTAGGCACAAAACCTCATATCAAAGTTAGGTGAGGCAACTCACTAGGAGAAGGTGGGTCCCAGGAGCAAGTGAAAGGGTCAGTGACATGCCGCTCCCACCGTTGGACTGCTGCAGGAACACCGAGCTATGCAACCGTAAGGTCTACGCAGAGAACCTAGCTTAGACCCATGCAGGGTCCGTGGTGGCTGCTTCAGTCTCTGAGACCCCAATGAGCTGCACATAGTTGATTCTCTGTGTCCTATTCTCATGGTGTCCTCTACCCCTCTGCCGCCTACAAACCTCCCTCCCCATTTCTGCAGGGTTTCCCTGGCTCTACCTGTGGATGTGGGCCTCTATATCTGTTCCCATCAGTTGCTGCATGATACCCCTTCGATGACAATTGGACTAGGCACCAATCTATGAGTACAGCAGGATATTATTAGGAATCAGTTCATTGACTAATTTTTTTGCTAGTTGTATTTGTTTCTATCAGGGGATTCTGGGCTATCTTGCCTCTGGCTCCTGAACATTCAGGCAAGGTTACATGTGGGCTCACACTTGTGGTGTGGGCCTTAAGTTGTACTAGTAATTTATTGACCACTCCCACAAGATCTGCACTGACATTACCCCAGTGCACCTTGTGGACAGGACAGATACATTTTTTAATTAACAAAATATTTCAAAAATGTAGTAGCATAACACATAAAAATATTGCTTATATTAATGCTAACTTAACACATAGTGAAAGCCTGAGGAACAGTATATAACTTTGTTGTCATTGTTTTTATCCAGGACCATGACATTTAAAGCCATTGTTCAACTATTTGTATTGGGATGTTCTTGGGGCATTGGCTTCTTTATGGTCATTGAATTCGGGAAGACAGTGAAATTGATCATTGCCTATCTATTCACCATCATCAATGTCCTACAGGGGGTTTTGATATTTGTGGTACACTGTCTGCTTAATCGCCAGGTAAGGCTGTCTCATTTCTTACCAACCTAACACCAAAATTCTCTTAGACCAGTTGTTCATATTCTTGGAGTTTCACATCTCAATTTTCAAATGTTCATTTTGAAGTTTTTCCTAGTTATTTCACACATTGTGTTTTATATCTATTCAGCATCTAAGTGTACCTCTTAAGGGCATGCAAGATAAGGTGGATTATACTGCATTAACAAATGGCACTTTCTTTCCAATTTTTCAACCATGGTGGCTTAAAACAGAATTTCTTCCTTGTTGATGATGTATAATTGTCATTTGGCTGAATTAGCCTTTATGAAATGAAAAAGTCTTCACTTGGGCGTAAATTAGCCTGGCAACATGGATACAATGTGGGATATTATTCGTCTTGTATCAAATGGGAAGGATATTTTATGTAAATCCCACATTAGATCTTAAGGCTTATGCATAACTGTTACAAATAACATTATTTCTGCACTCTTTTGATTATTCAAAACAAACTTTATTGATCAAATTTGAGTTCACCAGGGATATGATTGGTTGTTGTGATTCATATTGAACAGGATAACACTAGGATATTTGGCACAATCTACCTCACTCTGTTCTTCCATTTATTAGTTCGTTTTGTGACCTCAAAGAGGATGCCAATAATCTCTGAGTCTACTTTACCATATGAAAGTGTTACAGTGTCTTATTTTGAAGAGTTAGGATTCTATAAGACAGTACAATATAATCCAGTAGCACAGTGTGTGTGTGTGTGTGTGTGTGTGTGTGTGTGTGTGCATGAGAAAGTTTCTCTGTGACAAAGTTTGGAGCCTGTCATGGAACTCACTCTGTAGACCATGCTGGCCTTGAACACTCAGAGATCCACCTGCTCTGCCTTCTGAGTGCTATTTTTAAAGGTGTACACCACTGCCTGGTGCACACGCTTTTTTGGTGAACTTTTTGTTTGTCTGTTTGTTTGCTATTGAATGTAAATACCAGCAGTTAAATTGCTAATACAAATGAACCATCATTATAACAGTTCATTCATTCCTCTTCTCTAATTGTGTGTCTCCTCTATGTTTGGTACTTCTCCCTCACAGTAAAATGGCATAGGAAAAGTTAGGTTACTTTGACCACATACCTTCCCCCCCCCCAAAGCCTTGTTATTAAACAGTTTCTCCCTTGTTTTGATGAAAGATACTTATGAGGTGTTTTAAAGAACAAATGATTCCTTCTTCCCTGCTGGGAGATGATCATAGGTAAATAAAAGTTTTCTCTGGTGATATGAGGCTTGTGTGATGTTTTATAGACCAAAGAGTTCTTCTTTCCTTTTGTTGTAAAATCATGCCTCACCCTGCCACTGGTGTGATATGATTACACTTTTTAACTTCAAAAAGCCTTACCTTGCTTTAATTTACTTCCAAGAGTATTTTTTTTTCCTGAGGAGCTAGTCTGCTCCTGGTAAGCTTTCTAATAATAAAGGACTCACTGCATTCATAATCGATCTAGTATGCAAGGTGATCTGTAACTTTTTTGAGTTAATTATTTCAGCAGAAGTAAAATAAAACATGGGCGTCTTTATAAAATCATGTGAGGAGTAAAAACTCAAATTTTATTTTTAATATGACAATGATTTTTAAATTATATGCTGAACTATCATGTGCATTGTTAAATGTTACTTTCTTACTATTTAGATTCTGTCACCTGAATTAGAGATTAAAAACATATGTTTTATCTTCAGTTTATGTGAAGGTTAAATGTTATGCTGTTTATCAAGTGCCTCACATATATCTACTGTTTAGTAACTTTTGACCACAATCATCACACTTTCATCTTCCTCTGCTTTTTCATCTTAATCACCACCACCACCACCATCATCATCTTATCATTGTCCTTCTTATTATCATCATTATCATATCCATCATCATAGTCATCTTATCACCACTATAATTATCATAACCATCTTCATAATTATCTTCATTCTCAGCATCCTCACTACCATCATTACCACTACCATTAACATTGCTACTCTTTCACTCTTTCACTGATACATCCTTCGTCGTACTTATTACCACCATCATAATTATCACAATCATATCGTATCTATCATTCCATTCCAACCACCATCGCTACCAATCATCTTATTTTCAGTATTAACACCACCATAATTATCATGATTATCACCGCTATATTTACTACCATCACATCAATATCACTACCATAATCATTATCATTACCACTTTAGTCACTGTAACCATATCACACATTCATCATATTCACCATTACCAACTCTACTAAGACTACTCTATCATTTGATTACCATTATTATCATCAGCGTTCTAATAATTAGCATTATGGGGATAATGACTGTCTTTATTATAACCGTTACTGCTCTCTCATTCAGCAGTGTCAGTCATACAACTACACTAATCACCAGTTCATTAACGTCATCACCACTGCTATCACCACTGTCAACATTATCATTCTTGTTATATAAGATCCTATTTATAATGGAAGAAATTGAATTTAAATAAAATTAATAAGTTCAATTATGGTCAAATATATTCAGAAAAACAATGAGTCATAGAGAGTAGGATTTGACATTAGTGTATTTGTATCCCATGTAAAGTAGATTCCCTTACCTTGTACCAAGTTCTGGATATGAGCCATCCTTTTAATTATTCTTTCAAACTTTCAGGTGCGAATGGAATACAAGAAGTGGTTTCGTAAGATGCACAAAGGGGTTGAGACTGAAAGCACTGAGATGTCTTATTCTACTACCCACACTAAAACGGTAAGCTCAGCTCCCCATAAAGGCTTTATGTGGCCTGATCTGGTTTGTCATGCAAACAGATTTCCTCTCTGTTCCTTGAAAAAGAAATAAAAATTATGACATACTGTATACAGCCACAGTTTCTAGATTTGGTACCTAAATTCCTTCCTTCAATCCCTTTCTTCTTGCCTTTCTCGATTCATTTCTTCTTTTCTTGCTCCTATCTTTTCTCTCTACCCCACTCAAATGTCTTTACTCTTCAATATTTCTTCCTCTATTCCTCCTCCCACTCCTCTTCTCTTCCATCTATCTTTTCTGTTCACTATCATGAGTAGGTATATATTCACCTCAGACGACTCATTAGACATAGGCAATGAACAGTCTGTAAGCAGCACAGGATGCCTCAGCCTCTGGTGCCATTAGTGACACCTCGTGTATTTTCATGTCATCCTTGCATAGGGGACATGCTAATATTCCCTTCCAAATTCAGAATACGTGCTGCCGATGCTGGTGGAGTTGAGAACTGAGAGATTTGTCACCCTTTTCCTTGACACTTCCCAACCTTTTTCCTTTGAGAAAAGACATATAAATAAATTTCCCTCTGTTTACTAAGGCCCAGACCACCCTCTGCTATGCCCTCACTCTGTATCAGAACATGGACTTTCTGTGTTCACATGCCTCCATATATATTAGTTTCTTATGTAATTATCTCGGTCTCTGCATCTGTGAGAGTTTACCCATAGACTCTGTGAATCAAGATTTTTCTAAGTATTATGATACTCTGAAAAATCTGGCCTATAAAAATAGAGCATGTCTCACGATGGTTCTTCTTTCTGGCTTGATAGGGCTCTTATGAGCCATAGACTTGAGTTCTTTTTTTTATTTTTTATTTTATTGAGAATAAAAAAAAGTTTCCGCCGCCTCCCAGCTTCCCATTTCCCTCCCCCTCCCCCCACTC